AAGAGACAGTTCTGGTATCCTGCGTTCGGATCCTTGGACTAACACGAACCAACATTTCCTGAAAAAGTTCAGGATCAATTCGCTGAAAGTTCCTAAATCCAGTGTGGTCCTCCATTGCCATTTCCGACATTAAAGCTTCGTATTGTCCATGCAAAGACCTGCGCATTAACCAGGGTCCAAAAACGCCTTTTTCTTTTCTTCATCCTTCCCCTACGTTGGCTCCTAGCAACTAAAACAGAAGCAATGGCAGCATTTATAAGTAGCTCTTCTTCTAGGAGCACCAAAATATTTCTGTTGGCTTCCATGTTGTATGCGAATTTGCAAAACAGAACGTCAATTCTAATAGCTTGGAATGCCCTTACCTAATATCTAATTCGGTACAACTCCTAACGCTCATAATAATCTCGTAAGCTCCTAGTGAACTCGGTGTTTCGCTCGGCATAATTCCATAACTCGTACCCAACTCCGTAAGGTCGTACATCATTCGTAGCTAACACGTAGGAAGCCCGTATGGAGATCACGAGTTTCACGAGTTTTTAACTCGTGCGACTCCTGGATGAAATCAACCTAGGTGGGAGAGGGGCTTACTCGTACTCTTTTTTGGGTGCTCGCATCAAACTCGTAGATGACAAGCAGTTCACTTTCAACTTATGAAAATGTTAAATATCCAATGTCAACGTGATAATAATTCCACTACCCTATTTAGTTGTGGTATAAAGTATAATAGGAAAACATCACTTACCAATATTCGATTCTGAATTTATGTAATTTCCGAGACGCAATCTGTACTTGTCAGATGCATTTTCTATTCTGAATGAATCGTAAGTGGCACAGTAAGACTTGCCGTCATAGTCAATTAAATCTACTCGCAATTCGTAAATTGCCGAAGACGTAATCTTGTGAATAAATTCGTTTCCAATCCAAAATTCGTTGCACAGATCACCAAATCCATCAGCATATTCGTCCCAATTTCGGTAAAAATCTACGGAGCCGTCTCGCCTGCGTTGGAGTACCTACGTACATACAGTATACTATTACTTCTACGTACAAAACGATATGAATAACATGCATTTTACAGAATTTATAAAAAATAATTACTTATGAACTCACTGTCCAGCCAAGGTCCTCGGTTTTCATGTCACAATAAACTTTGCGGGTTGAGCATGATGCGCAGGGTTTCACGTTATATACACCACTTCTTCTATTCCGTAATTGCTCCACTTGCGTGCAGTCACGATTCTGTGTTAAGCAAGAGTATGTATATGTATGCATGTACGTGGGTATGCATAAAATTTAGAAACCTATGTATTGTCCAACATGATATAAATGTCAAAGTTAAATTAATCAATAATAAGTAGATTACTGGTACCTAATATTACAATGCATGACACAATTACATATGATAACATGTTTTGAACCGATACTGAATTATATATATACGTGAGAGCAGCTTAGCTCAGTCGGCTAATCTGGTGGTAGCCACTGTGTGTGCGCTGAACCGTGGAGATCTCTAGGTTCCCGGTTCAATTCCCATCGCTGCCTCTCCTTGTGTTTCAGCAAGAGGGCTGAAATACAAGTTACATAGCGCACCGTCTTTCGGATGAGACGTTTAAGCCGTTGGTCCGATGTGTATTTATGGCCCATGTGCACGTTAAAGAACACAGTACACTCTTCGGAAAAGAGTAGGCGATTGTCTCCCGGTGTACTGTCCAATCACCACCAGAAGAACCCCACTGGAAAAAAGTCTTTTTCTAGACTTTCGTGGGCTATCCTTGGTGTTTACACCGAATAAATCCAATCCAATCCAATCCAGTAATACTTCATAGAAGACCGGATTTAATAAGGCCTGTTGTAAACAGTAATTCAAAGAGAGTGTTTATTGTTGAAGACTCAACCCCTTGGATGGAATCTTAAAAATGATACGAGACTAAATTCAGTTACGTATTATAATTAACTATAAACCAAAGTGAATTAGGCCTAAAAACATTAGATACACTGTATTTGTGTAAGTTAATTGTTATCATAGTAGGTTCTCTTGTTAGAAGGGTTATATTTCAGTGTTAAAGTTTATTAGATTAACAACTACTATATGTATATATAATTTATATAGGCCTATATTATATCTGTCTCTTATACACATCTAGATGTGTATAAGAGACAGGATTTATCCATGTAGTTAAAAAATAAAAATG